TGGAAACCTGCCTGTGCCCATCCTCAGGGACATGCCTGGCCCTCTCCAGGGAGCTTCCACAACAGAGCGTTCCTCCTACTGAGTCTGTAAGTCTAACCCATTCCTGGGAGGTATAGGGCTGCCAAGTTTGACAAACAAAATCCCAGGAACTCAGTTAACTTCAAATTTCAGATGAACAATGCATGATGTATCTTACCCTAATAGAAAACCCTGCTCAGAGTCAGCAGTCACCTCTCCCTGTTACCAGGACATCTGAATTCTGCAATGATCTCAGCCCCTAGCTGACTATGTGGTCTTAGAAATTTAGTGCCCATTTGGAGAATCCGGCTTTCTCGTGAAGGTGTAGGATTTGGTGACTTGAAGGTCTCTATCAGATTGAAGAGTCTGTAGTTCCATGTTCTCATGAAACTCCTCCCACACCTCTCTTGTGAAATGACCTTGCAAAAAATCCAAACAATTGAGAAGTGTACAAAACAAACCATGAAGCTGCTCGCCACCTCTGCCCTTCCTTTCTCAGGCAACTACTTCATCAGTTTGGTGAGCATCCTTAAAGCCCTATTTCTAGGTACTTGGTACTAGACGTGCACATGCACATAAGTCTGTAGGCCCACAGGATCATTCTCTGGCCCAGCTTGTGGGGATTGCTGCAACACAACAGGATTGGGAACCTCTGCTCCAAAGAATCCAGTCCTCTGTCATTTTGCTAACCCAGTCATACTACCTGTAAACTGTGCCTCCCTCTGGCTTTTAGTACCCCTTGTCTGCTCAAATGAGGCAGGAAATAGAAATCTAGGATAGACACCCTCTACTCTGCCATCAGGTGACATAACCCACTTGTCCTGCAGTGTGCACGTTCCTGTGTGTGCTTGGTCTGGGATCACTCTCTTGGCTTGTCTACCTGGTCTGCTCATTACCTGACAGATTCTTCCTAAAGAGGGCAGCCTGGTACTCCACTCAGAGCCTGCCCTGGATGCTCCCTGGCACTCTAGGGCTCCAGCAGACAAAAATTCCTACCTGTTTGTACCTCTAGAAACTTGAACTCGTGGCCCTCTAGGCACAATCATAGCTGACCAGGCAGGGACAAATTAGTGATACAGACACTTTGCATCCAACCAGACCTTCTGTCCTACTCTCTTTTGACTTATCCTATGCTCGGTTCCCGAGGATCCAACATGATGCCAGGGCTCCATCTAGCAGTGAAACTCCCCAGCTTGGCCCTCTCCTTACTTTCCTATCACCATCTTCCACCAACTGCCCAGGAACAGCTCACTCTTACCCACAGCATAGTATGCATGGCTTTTCTGCTCAGGTGAAGATATGCCAGGCACCAAGTTCTCAACAAGACATCAGACTTGTCTGGCCCAAGAGCCCACACTACACAGAGCTGAGCCAGTGAGGACAATCCACTGCCAGCAGAGACCATTCTGTCTGGTTCCTCGTCAAGCTCCACTATGGGCTACTGGGTAGAATGAATTCCAGTGCCAGCTCCCAAGACACAAAGCCATTGGTCCTCTATACAATGTGAATCTTCCCTGGTCACCATGAGAGATTTCTCTTGTCTTGAGACTTTCTCTTTACGCTACCTACCTCCTGTCCCTCACTCAAAGGTCTGAGCTGCCTCTTCACAAATGAGAGTTCTTGTGCTGCTCATGTCACAAAAAAAATAAAACATAACCCTCACAGAAAAATGGGAAAGGATAGCTAAACCAAGAATAGAACAAAGAATTTAAAAATACTATCCTAAACTAACCACCAAGTATTATTTACAGTTATAATTTTACTTGATATTTATGTTACAGATCACAAAATGTTTTCCTTCAGTCAGTTCAGTTCAACTTGCACATATTTTAAATAATTTTGATTTGAAGATTTTGGACAGGATTTTGGATATTCAGTTCACCACATTCCCTACCACTCCTTATTTTATTACACTAATCCCATCTCACTCATTTCTACCTTCTAGAGCATCTATGTTTGCAATTCTTACAGTATACATATGTATACATATGCACATGTGTTTTAAGTAATGCTACTGCTTATTCCATTCTGTAATATACTTTTTTGTGTGTAATGGTGTACCATGAACACCTTTCTGTGGCAATATATAGTCACATCCAACTTTATTTTTAATGGGTGTTAAAGTTTTCCATTGAAAAGATGTGTCATAATTTATTCAGCTAACCCCTACTGTTGAACATTTAAATTGCTTTCAGTTTTCCCTGTTTCAGTGCACATCCCTGTAGCTAGAGCTCTGCACACTTCCTTAATTAGTTCCCGAGGATAAATTCCAAGAAGTGGAATTGCTAGGTCAAAGGGTATTCACAGTTTTAAAAGCTTTTAACATGTGTGGCCGAATGGAGTGTACAGAGTTTTACAATGACAAGGGTGCTTGAGAGCTTCCTGTGACTGCTTGTCAGGATGGACCCTTCCAGACAGTAACAGCATCCCAGAGAACACCCGATCGTTTCTCTCTCAAGACTGTCTAAAGTTCACTCACCCAAAAGGGGGGCTTTTCGCCAGTAACCATCCCGGATCTCCACGTAATCGTACCAGCATAGGCGGCTCTTAAACAAATCCATGGTTGTGAAGTTTAAGATGATCTGTAAAGAATTACCATAAAGTGAGTTGGAGCTGTAACAAAGCCTAAGGAGTTCTGAAAGCTACATCTTGCATGCTGGTGTTCTCACGTTACCCGTTAGCATACAGAACCCTCAGACACAGTAGGAGCGTCTTCTCAAAACACACACACAGGAAACCTCGTGACATTAAATAATAAACCTTAGGCAGGATGGGGAGTAAACAGAGGAGATGGGTCCTTTGGTTCTGTCTGGGGAATCACTTGAGCTTTTGAAGTCCCTAGGTGGTTTACAGAAAGCAAGATGCATTAAAAAGACAGGCCAGGGCATGTTGAGACTGGGGATTTGAGGGGTCGATGAGGTTCAGAGATACGAAAAGATCTTATAACATCATCAATCATTCCAGAGAGTCTGGGGTTAGCCTGAGTGCATCTGAGCCCCTCCATGATCAATGTCCCCTCAGCCAAGACCTCACTTTTCTGAGGTGTGGTGTATCTAATGGCCTTCTTACAGTTAGTCCCCTTGATCATTAATTCATTCATTCTGCCATTGCTTGTTGGTTACCTACTGTGTGCTGTTCTATGTAGGGCAATCAGGAAAGAAAGATCAGTCAGACAGGGTCCTTGCCTTTTGGGAGGTCGGTGAAGGAGAGAAAGGCAGATGAGCCAAGCCACACTATGGTATGAATGCTAAAAAGAAAGGAATGGACAGGAAGAGCTTTTGGTAGTCCTGAGAAGGGAGAAATAAATTCTGCTTGATGATTTTGGAAAAACATTCTCAAATAAGGTGACATTTAACTTAAGGGACTAGGGGCTCCACCGGCAGAGAAACAGCTAGAGAGAAATTGACATGAGTTAAGGCAAGGAGCTGTTTGAGGAGCTAGAGTGTGGGCCCAGTATGGGCCACTCTGTGTGTGTCTAGAATGAGGGGGAAGAGGGGCAAAGAGATGGAGTGAAGGCTGAGAAAGTGGGGTTCAGCTTGGGCTGGAAGTGAACATTTTGGCTCCCCTGGACATCCTTGAGGTCCCTCAGTGGACACCCCTATGGCCAAATAGGGAAGTGTCAGTGGAGGAGGCTGGGCTTCAGCTGTTGCTCCCACAAACAGGCTCTGGCCCCCTGTGGCCCTCCAGCCCACGCAGATAGCCTAAAACAGAATCCAGTTTTCCCTTCACCCTTCATCTCCCGTTCAAGCCCACCAGGCAAGGTGCCGGTGCCTCCAGCAACACTGGGAAGCAACAGCTTGTCTGTTCGAGCCTCAAGCTGGCTCTCTGTCCTTGCTTGGTTTGTTCCTGACCATCACTTCTCAGCTCTTCCTGCTCTCCAGCCCTACCCTAGCCCCAGCATCCCTGACCCTATTCCTCCTCCAACTTCAGGGGCGTTGCTCTCTGCAATTCACATTCTCCAGCATCTCCACTCTGTGCCTCCATTGGCCACTTCTATAATAACAGCCCAGGGACCCTCTGTCTCTAAACAAACCCTCAGGCTGGAGGGGCTATAAGTCAAAAGTTCCAATCTCCCCAGCCAAGATCTAAGGGATGGTTATTTGTCCTGGAACTCACTGGCCCCTCTGCTCTCAACTGTCCTATTTGGTTGTCACTGCATTGGCCTATCCTTTGGCCACTGTTCTCTCTCCTTGGCTGGCTCCTGCCCTCCCCGCTCCCACCCTCCCATTAACTGTGATGACACCTCAAAACCAAGCAATTCCCATCTTGCCGACTTGACTAATGAGTCCCTCCACACCGATCACCCAGATACCAAGCCTAGGCTTTATCCCTCCATTGCCTCTGTGGTTGGCCTGCCAATACCTGCTCAGCACCCATGCCCATTGCTCTTTGCTCTTCAAGATGCCTGTGTCCCTCTTTCAGCCCAACCTTGCCTCCTCTTTAGGCCTCCTTCCTGATTGCTACATGGGGATCATCCCCAGACTTCCCTCTTTAGTGCTTTGCCCATCTGTCCTGCATACTAAGGCTTCTTACAGTGCATGTTTACCAGGCCCACCCCCATGCTTAGGAACCCTGTGGCTCCCTGTATTCCCACCTCAGAAGTTAAATGCTCTGCTTACTTCCCAAGAGCCTCCAGGGCCAGTCTCTGTTCCCTGTTTCCCAATGCTCCCTGCTTCGCCAGTGCTAATGAGACTTTTCTCCAGCTCAGCTAAGTGTCCCTTCCCCTGAGTTCATCTCTGATTGGTCAGATGGACACTGTCTCATCTTTACCTCTAGGGAACTCCTCACTGTCTCTATAGAGATTCTAAGCAGATGTCTTAGAGTCAGGCAGATTCACTTATCAGCTCTATCCCTTACCAGCTCTGGAATCTTGGGGGAAATACTTGATTTCTTGGATATCTAATTTCTTCATCTCTAAAACAATATGCATGCCATTGGGTTAGGGACTGCATGAGGAACTGTATATGCTATGCCTGGCTTTCAGTAGGCACTCTATAACTGGAAATTCTAAAAATTAGGCCACATTGAGTGTGCAACTAGTGTTAAGGGTGCCCACCCCTTCCCTTTGGCCAATCCCACCCAATGGTCAGGTCCAGAACACAAAGCCCTATGATCTCCTAGGAAATGAAGAGTGAGTACAGTGAATAAGAATAATAGGCCAGCTCCCCTCCGTAATAGCAGTAGCTGTAGTAGAATGTGTGATGTCATTCTCCTTTCAAGCTAGCGTTTTTAACTGTACTTGTACAGTAAAATCACCCTGAAATGAAGAAAGCTATTACCTCACAAATGCCTGTCCTTCCAATAAACCAAGCATGAAGAGAACACAAACTATTTGGGAAGTCTCTTTTCATTATTATTTGTTTGTTCAGACACCCTCTCATTATATAGTCCAGGTTGGCCTCGAACTCATGATTCTCCTACATCAATTTCCCTAGTGCTGGGATCACAGGCATGCACCACCACTCCTGGCTAACACTAAGTCTCTTAAAGACAGAGCTGTACCTTAGGTTTCTCTCAAATCCCCTGTGGTGCTTGTAATCAGGTGGTCAAGCTCAGTGATACTTATAAGCTGGTTACACTATGGTTCTTTAGCTTTGGCTTTTTAAAATTACAGAAAGGAAATGTTAGTACAACTTCCTTGGTAACACATTCATAATCTGAATGAGATGGATAATTATTCAGGTTAATTATTTTAAGGATGTTAGTGAACCATAAAGACCATAATGGAAGAGGTGATGAATGAGTGGTTATACTTGAATCAATCAAGTTTGCTAATTACTAACAGCTCTGGGGAAGGCTGGGTGAAGCAGAAATTAGAATAATTGGTACAGGAATTTCAATGATGTATATCCCCCTGCCCCCAGTGAGCACTAATAATTGAGGCTTGGTGAAGCTTACACAGTTCAAAGATATCACATAGCCTCTGCTGTGCTGAGCAAGTCAACATTTTGAGGATTACCAGACCTCTTCCTCTTCTCCTCCTCCTTCCTGCCTCCTTTCTGCTAGCACCTCCAGCAGACACAGCGATGTCATATCCACCCAAGGCAAAAGCTCTGAAGTCTCAGGTCCAAGATGACAACCACACTGTCTTAAATGCTTAGAGCCAAAGAAAGGATGTGTTTGCATGAGTGCACACGTGTGTGTGCAAATGTGTGTGTAAATGTATACTCGTCTGTAATAATATAAGATGAAAGATAAGCATTCAGGCTTAATTGCCTGTATTCAAATCTTAATTCCACAACAAACTTAGTAGCCTTGGGCAAGTCCATTTCCCCGCCTGTTAATGAGCATAGTATTGGCACCTGGCACATGAGGTTTGTGGAAAGATTAAGTTAGCATACCGAGGACCAATAGAAAATGCTTGCCATGGTTCTTAGCCATTTCTCTCTGGTTACCACACTATTCTTAACGACACTTGGATGGACATGTTTGTAAATTTATGGAATACCTGAAGATTGGCTATAGGCACCTGCCATTTTTTTTCTCTCAGCATTTGTGCATCCACACATCCATTCAACAAATGCTAATTGTGTGACTGCACTAAGCCATGGACAATGTGGGGTGCTGGGACTGAGGGTGGACAAGTCTGTCCTCAATGAGCACCAGGGTTAGAAGTGAGACATAAAAACCAGCAGTCATGACACAGGGAGACATGCTGCAACACATATGGGAAGATGGGGGGCCCTGCACCTCTCCTAGACAAGAAAAAGAAGGAATTCTCAAAGAGAGTTGCATCCAGCCTAAGGCAATGTGGACACTTGGATTTGTAGACACATGTAGTGAAAAGATAAACACTGGCGTAACAAAACCCAGGTTCCCCTTTCCCAGTTCTACATCTTACTCTAAATTTGGTCAATTTCCTCAGTGTCTACGCCTCAAATTCCTCATCCACAGAATGGATAGAGCAACATACACCCTGCAGTGGGATTGAGAACATACTACCCATGGTCCAAGGATAAGAGGTCCTGATCCCAAGTTCAGCTCTAGAAGGTCATGGAATCTTCATGGCCAAAGGAATGTTCCAATATAGAGCTTGCCTCTAGGCCTCCTTCCAGAGTCCAGGATCCTGGAATTCTCTATCCAAATAGCTCTGAACCCACTAGCAGGGCATGCAAGAGCTTCTTCCCTTGATCTAGCCTCCCTAAGGTAGAGGCACAGGCTGGAAGACAGCCAAGGAACAGCTGTTTGCAGAGTAGGAAAGGATGGTGTTCAGGAGAGTTGGCTGGGATGTCAACACAGGTGCTTCTGAAGCCCCAGATGGGCGATGCAAGGGCCATCCCTCTCCATGTCACCACCTTCCAGAGCAGCAGTCCAAGGTGTCAGTGAATTCTAAATTGAACCTTGCCCTCCAGGGCATTATAATAGTATATTATCAAGCAGGAGGACAGAGCGTAATTTACTGTACAATGATTAACATGTTTCATAACTTACATGGTCATTTAGTGCACGCTAGGCCTCCAGTTGTATGGATGAAACTGGTTGAGAAGCCCGGAAATAACAAATGTAAAATAAATAGTGAGGTGCATAGCACGTGGAAGATGTTCATAAAAAGCTAGTATTACCACGACTTCTAAGAATAAGTCCTCTACCTTACCCAACTCAGTGCCATGCCATTTCTGAGGGGGGTTCCCATCTTTTAAAAAACAGTTTATCATTAATTACTATTATTTAGTTGTACAAATTTTGGGGTACCTTGTGGTGTCCACATGCATACACTATAGTCAAATCTGGGTAGTTAACACTCCCACCTACCTTTTCCCCTGGAGTGACTGAGATCCTCCAGACGCAGTGGGAGTAAGAAGGGTAGCCATTTGGGAAACCAGGTGCAGAAAAGTTCCCTGTTGTGTCCTGCAGGGTCTCCCCACATGCTGCACAAGCAAAACAACAACTGTGACAAAGGCATGTGTACCCACTCCCCGCCTGAGTCACTCCTGCCCAGGACTACAAAACAAACACATCCCCTTCAACAACCAAAGCACTTGGAATGACTGGCAAGAAGCGAGTCAGGCAGATGAATATTTTTCTGGTTAAGGCAAGAGAAAGTAGCCTCGGGTATGAAGGAGCAATAGCCAGGGGTTCTGCTGAGGCTCTCGGGAGCTGCAGGCTCTGTGGCCATGAGCAGGGCCTTAGTTTTCTTATCTGTGAACTAGGCAGGGCCATCTCAGGACAAAGAGGATGAGTAGAGTCATCTGCATTACATGAGCTGATCCTGCAGGGTGCTGGGCACCCAGTGAGTGTGTAATACACTGTAGCCTTTCTGGTTTCTAGCCGCACCACCTATGGCAGTGCAAGTCAGTGGAGCAAAACCAAAAAAGTACTTTGAAACTCTAGACTCTTTCCAATCCCTTACTAAACACCTCTGAAAGTGCTACCAATAAAGAGAACAGAGAAAAAGGCAGAGGCCCAAGAAGCTAGAATATTCTAGAGTATATTATTCTGCCCTTGCATGTTTGAAGGTTTACCTGGTCATGAACCTAAAACACAGAATGTGTGTATGAAAAATATTTTCACTAATTTGTCTTTTTAAAAAGGGTACCTGTACTTTAGGAGCTGCAGCTTTTGTATTTCCCTGAGCCCCAGGGATTCAGATTCCAAAGACAAAGACGTTGGTTTGCTGATTGCCCCTCCTTTCATGGGGCCACCCCAAAGTGTGGGGAGCAAGCATCCTTAAGCATCTCCTGCATGCCATTCCACCTCCATGTGGCAACTGCTCTAACTTTCAGTTCCTCCTCGAAACTACTAGAAACCCCGTAGTTTCTGGAGCTGCAGGAAGGCATATGTGGAGAAGTGCCCATCACTGGCCTCAGGAAATCCTGGATATCGGGGGTTCAGTGTCACATTACTGAACAACTGCCAGGCATCGTGAGGATTACTCCCAGCAGTCAACACCCCCGAGGGTTCCGTGGAAATTATTTTAGAATAATCATCAGCATTCTGCAAGAACAGATACATTACTGTGTGGCTCCATGGTATTTACCAGCTGCCTCCAAGCCTTCCTTTTGGGAAACAAGTAGCATATAGATTATAACCAAATAAATAGTATGGCATTTTCCAGGAAGAGCTCTGAGGTTTCCTTTTAAATTCAGCAAGGTTATATGATATGTGCGTCCTGTATTTCAGGCCTAACATCCCCCAGATGACTAATAGCTGGATGGACATATTTCCTACTTTCATGGGGATGGAAGCCACACACAGTCCTGCTTAGCATGGTAATATGCCAACCTAGATTTTTTTTCTGATGTCCCCACACCAAAACATTCTATCCCGTGATCAAACTCTGTGTCTGATTTGGGGGATTGGAAAAGGTTACTGGACAATTGGTAATAGAACTTCCTTCTGTCTTTCCTTCCCAAAAGGAGGATGGTGTCTGTCTTCTGTCCCTTCTAAAGACTCGCCAGTACAACAATGCTTTGCACTGATACTCAACAGCTGAGAGTGGCTGACGAATGCTCACTGCAGGACAGTCAGAGGTGTGATTATGGTGAGACGGCAGGACAAAAGGCAAAGAGGACCAGTCTGAGGAGATGACACTACTGGACAGGCATTTGCTTTGACCCCAGGGTACTGGCCAGTCTTCCATGGCAGACTGCTGGTCCCTGACTCTGAGACCATAGAAACCAACTCATTTACAGTACAGAGGCTTCCTCGGCCTGTAGCATTTGGCATTTTCCCTCATTCTTTGTCCTCCTGCCAGGTCTGCCTTGGTTCTTCTTTTGCCAAGCCCACATCTCCCATTCATACAGAAAGGAGAGGAGTTCTTTCTTTATGGTCCTGCTGCCCTGAATGTCTATGCAGTGCTGTCCTGCTCGACTTCTTTGCCTCTGTATCCAGAAGTCCAGAGTCTCCTGCTATGGGCTCGGAGACCTAATATTCTCCTGACCATTAGATTTTCTACACTGTCTCAGCCCTCCTGACAGAAGGACATGAGAAACCACAGCTGCCAACGAGTAGTCCCTGTAGGTCCCCCAAGTTATTTTCTGGCAAGGTAGCTGTGTGCAAACCTCACAAGTTGTGCTCTGTGAGATGCTAAGGTGCTGGGACTCCCATGGTTCACAGTTACCTGGGCATTTGTACAGCTTCCTCGCTTGAGCTATGTCTCCCTGACTGAGCCGCACCCGCTGGCCAATGGTTGGCCTGATGCCATTGTCGTCTCTGCGGGGAAGGATGGTGTCTAAGAAAACTCCCCTACAGGAAGAAAAAAGAGAGAGGAAGAAAAGTCAAGGCTACCAGGTTGTGCATGCTTGCATTCACAGTCTTCATTTCTTTGTCTGTGAGCCATCAGCATTCCTGCCCGCAGCATGATAGGAGGTTTCCTTCACTCGTGCTGGCCTTGTACCATTCCATTTCATCAACTGCCTACTCACTTTCCAGTGGCAAGATGACTGCCAGGTTGAAAAATATACTTTAGTTCAGTAGCCTGGAGTCTGCCTTACTGATATGTACTGAGAATTTCTAAGAAGCTCCTGTCAGGGCCCAGCCCCTGGGCCACCATGCTGCACAATGCATGAGGTGAGATCACAGTGCAAGTGGCGCCCCTTGGAGTTGTTGTTTTGGGCAGTACTGTGCATAGATAAGTCTTAGAGCCTCCCCAGAGAGAGTCTAGTCCAGTGTGAGGTTTTTAGCAGCTGGGCAGCGAGTACAGGTGGACGAACTGGTGAATCAGAGTTTAAAGGGTCTTGCTGGCCAGAGAGGGGGTCAGGTGAGTAGTGAGCTAAATGCAAAGAACAAGAGTCCTTGAAAAAGGCTGGAACTACAGATTTCTATGCCAGACCTGGCTCTGCCATCTAGGTGAGCTTAGCAAGTCCCTTCCCCTCTCTGAGCCTTCCTGAGCCTCAGTTTACTCAGTACAATAAGAGACTGGCCTAGATGGTTGTGGGAGCCACTTCCAGCACTAACACCTTATTCTATTTCTACATGACTCACATCTATAATGACATTCATTTCTAAAATACACCGCCTTGTTTGGGCCCGGTTTCTCCCCACTGGTTGCTGCCAGTTCTGACCTCCTCTTCTGCCTGTAGAGTCTCTATCTGGCCTTTCCTAAGCGGTCTAGTAGATGGTTTTGGCTAAGCCTTTCCACAAACCTGCTCCTTCTCCAGGTACCACCTGGTTTCTTTCTTTCTTAAGCAACTTTCTGGAAAGAATTGTCTCCAACCCTGTTTGGTGCACATCTCTCATTCATTCCTTACTCCAACTGTGATCTGTCTACGTCAGTGATGGTCACCACTTACCTACCAATGGGCACTCCTCAGTCTTCATGTGCCCTCTCTACAGCCCTGGGACCTGTCACCCTCTTCTGTCCTTACTGTCTTCTATTGGATCCCAGAGCACTGCTCTGAGCTAAGAGATAGGAACCCCTTCTGCTTTCTGTTTAGACATGCCTATCAGGTTTCTTGTCCCTCTCTCTCTGTTCCATGCAGCCCATGGGTTTTAATCACCACTTATGAGTCCACAACAAATTCTGTTTCCATCCCTGGTGCCACCTCCCCTGAGCTGTCCTATGGGCCTCTTACAACCAAATTTATTCCATTTGGCTTACAACCAAATTTATTCCATTCTTCTGCTCGTCCCCTAACCCTTATCTCATGAGACATTGAATCTTAAGGCACCCTCAGCTCCTCCCTCTTTCTCATAATCTCTTCTTGGAGCCAGTGACTGGGTTCTGTCCACTGCACCTTCTCTGCAACCCTTTAGTCCATACGCTTCTCCTTGTTTCCAAATCACTGCCTTAGCTCAGGTGATCAGCTCTTCCTGACTTCTTCCAGAAGCTTCTTAACAGTGCCCTCCCTATAGGATCAGCTACTTCTGCTCTACACCACAATGATGCATTGCGATCATCCCAAAGCAGAAAGAGAGGTAAGTGTCCTTTTGGTTTAGAATCTCACCAACTTCTTGCCACTGCCTGGATCTCTGGGCCCTTTGCTCACTGGCTTCTGTCTTCCTCTCCAGCCACATCTCTTGCTATCTCCCTATAGGCCCTAAATAGGTCCTTGCACATACGATCCTCCAATGAGGCTGCCCATCCACCATTGTCTTGTCTACTCACAAATTACTATTTATTCTCCTCCATATACCCATCAGATATGTCTCCCTCTTAAAAATCTCCCCTAGCTCTTCCTATCTCTCTCATTTGTAGTTAATCATCCCCTTATCCCCTCCCTCTCCTTCCTGGGCCTTATTCATTTGTCTAGTCTCCTCTTACTACATTATGTTGGTGTTTTGGATTTTTTTATTTTTTTTTTAGGGATTGGTAGTATTTGTCTTCTCTGCTAAAAGTAAGTTTCTCAAGCACAGACTAGATTCTTCCTTTTTGTCCTTAGGCACTGAGTCAGAGCAGGCTTTAAGAAATGCTTCTTAAATTGCATTATGCAGCCAAGATAGAGAAATGTCCTCAAAAAGAGTTCACAAAATAGCTATTTACAATCAAAAGGAAATGCTAAAATGTACGTGCATTTCTTACCTAGTAGCTGTGTACTCTCCTTTCTCTTCTTCCCCTCTCTCTTTCAAGCACTCTGTTCTCCTAAATTCTGTACTACGTTGGAAAATACATACCCCTATTTCTTCCTGGTTGCATTCCTTTGTTATCTTTTTGCTTTTGCAAATTCTTGTTTTTCTAAGTGAGGCTTCAAACTCTCTTTGTCCTCAAGATTAGCATATGGGCCTAGGGAACCTGCTGATTTCCTTTTAGTCTCCCTTTGCCCAACATCTAACCATCTGTCCTGACTTTCTTTAGCCCACAGCCTCATCTCCAGGTCCAGAGTCCTCTAGAGAGACTTAAATGGAACCCCTGGTCTCTCCTCTGCCTTCACCAGGTTTTAAGTCATAAGTAATGACTTTACATGAAATTCCAAATTCAATCACCTCCTTAAAATACAATCATTTCTGATCTAATGAAAGATGTCGCCACTTGTAATTATTTCCCTTAAGAAGGAATTTCGAAGTCCAAATATAAGGATTGCCTTGTTGTCCAAGCAGCCCAGGAAAACTGACAGTGTTCTCCCCTACAGCACTTCCTGTCTGCCAGGCCCATGGTGGGCACTTTACGTGTATCATCTCATTTAATCTTCATAACACCCTGGGAAGCAGGTCTCTTATCTCTTGGCTTCCTGTTCTGTAGGTGAAGAGAGCCAGCCCACAATTTTTAAGTGACTTGCTTAGAGGACAGAGCTAGAAATGGAGAGCCAGCCCTGGAACCCAGATAGCCCTGGAGCCCACCTCTGAGTATCTTCCTCCTCCCAGTCATGTTTCCCACTGCCCAAGAAATCAGAACCTGTTCTAAGAAGGGGGAAAAGGGGCAGAGGGAGGCTGATGGGGGGCGGGGGGTGAATCTAATTAAGATATATTGCAAGCACATATGTAAATGTCACAATGAACCCCCCCTGTACAGTTAATATATGTTAATAAAAATAAATTTTAAGAAGAAATAATCAGCTTTGATGTGCATTAAATGATAGCACTGAGATCACTGTGGACTTTGAGACCAAAGCAGCAGGGACAGGGTTGGCTCACACTCAGACAATCTCCGGAACCGGGGCATCCCTGCACATCCCTGGGATCTGGCCATCCCTGTGTGATGCTCTGCAGTCCTCTCCTTCCTGCTCTCACGATGAACAGCTCCTAGCACTGACATTCTGCTAAACTAAGACAGGGTATGGCAGATGCCTGAGAAAATAAAACTGTCAGCTCTGAGTTCTCCAAACAAAGACATTCCTGTACTAGGGAACTGTCTCCTCATCTCCTGGACCTGTGCCCAACAAAACCTCCAAAGACGCCACTCCCCACTGCCTGGGTCTGACCAAGGGGGAGAGAAGAAGAATTGCATAAACCAGAGGGAACAGAGTTGGAAGAAGACAGTTTACTCGTAAAGAGACAGAGACTGCCTTTCCCATCAGCAGGAAAAGCTTTGCCCAAAGATGAGCTAATGATCTGAAGGCTGTTTGCTGCTCTTTTAGAGAATCAAAGACAAAGTGCAGTCCAGCCCAGGCGCTCTGTGGCCAGGAGTAATGACCTGGAGTTAAGAAGTGGAGGAATTTTTGAGAAGATGCCAGAAAAACACACCAGTAAAGGTCCATGGAACAAAATAGCTTTCTGGACATCAATGAAGAAAATTGGCAGAAAGAACAATGGGGGTATCCACTGGCAGCAAAATAGATCTGCAAAAACCATTCTGAACTCAAGCAGAGGTAAATTGTTAAAATAATGACTATCACCCCCAACATCTACATCCCCTGTGAGAAATGTGCATGCCTATACTCGCAGGCAGAGTATGTTGCTCTACTCACTTTAGTCTGAGTTGGCCTTGTGAGTTGCTTTGACCAATAGAATGTGACAGAAGTGATGCCATACAAGATCCACCCTGGTCCTTAAGAGGCTTGTAACTTGAGTCCTCAAGCAGAGAAGAGCCTGGCTCAACCCACCTGCAGGTGAAAGACCACAAAGAGGAGAACCAAGAGGCCCTTTGGAGAGCCAAGGGACATGGCCAGACAGTACTAACTGCCAGAAATGTGACTGACCATCGTGGACTCCAAAGTCCAATCAAGCTGTCAAATGACTGTTGCCATGGGAGTGATCTCAGGCAAAACCAGAGAAGAATGAGCCAGACTGCCCTGGACTATCAGAAAAAAAGAATAAGTTGCTGTTTTAAGGAACTAATCTGGGCAGCAAATTGTTCTGCAGCAACAGACAATAGTAGCAGAAAGGAAAGTCTGCTTTGGGTGAGCGTGCTCCGTCCCTGGCCGCCCATCACACCCGAGGGCTGTCCCCTGCTGATCTCCCTCCTAGGGACTCTGGGTACTTTAGATGAGGAGTGATTACTTCGTGGGTTTGGCCCATGGATTTCCTCTGGTCAGTGCTGATAAAATAGTTCACATTGATAATAGTGTTAGGAATGGTTATTTCCTGAGGGACAAAAAGGGGAGAATTATGAACTAGACATCAGAGGAAAACAGAATGAAAGAAAGAGAAAGAGACAGAAAGAAAGGGAAGGAGGAAGGAGGAAGGAAGGGAAGGGAAGGAAGGAAGGAAGGAAGGAAGGAAGGGAAGGAAGGAAGGAAGGAAAGAAGGAAGGGAGGGAGGGAAGGCTGGCACCAGAAGAGGCTTACCTGGCCTCTGGTTCAGGTGCTTTGTGCAGTAGCTTGCACAGAGCAGGCACGAGGAAGATGGTGCAGTTTCTACAGCCCCTACATGCCTTCTGGGAAAGTGACAAAGTCTCCCCAATGACGTGACCACTGCACTTGTGAATGTGTGGAAAGAACTGCAGTGAGAATAATGGAAATTTCTTCCCTTACCTATGCCCTAGCAGCCCAGCTCTCCTAGGCCCTTCTTAACTCCCACATTAATTTATAAACTTAACAACTAAACATTGAACACCTACTATTGCCAGGCACTCAAGTGAGTGTGGAGACTAGAAGAGAATAAAACAGTCTCTGTGCCTAAGGATCTCAGTATACTGACAGAGAGGAATGCACCAGATAAATATTAGCAGAGTAATTATTAATTAATCATAAAGCAATGTGAAGAGTTGTGGCAGCTACAGAAATAAGACCCAAGGTACAAGCTTCTCAGTTGGATCAACTTGACACTGGTTCCCCGATAAAATTAATACTTTGTTTCTATATACCATCCTGCAGCTGCAGAGATGATGGAGCGACACTTAAGTTCTTCCCTATGCCAAATTCCAATACCCATGTATCCACCTCTGACATTTGTGGGATGGGCTTTCATCCTGCCCACTCCAGCTGACTTTCTGAGTCTCCCCACAACACACACACATACACACAAACACACAGAGCCCCAGGTTTCCCAGCCTGGAAGAAGCAGCCCCACCAGCTTCGGATTTCCTGTATGCCAATGAGTGAGATACTGTCACCCATCTACACCAGGTGAAGAAATTGCAGCATGAAGGTTAGAGCTGGAAGGCGCTCAGAGAACGCCTGCTCCAGCCCTCATGTGAGGAGACTGAGGCCCTTGGAGGGAGAGATATAACCAACCCCACAGAGGCCCCTAATCACTGTGTGCTCCTCCTCCATAGCAAGGCTCATGGGAGAACTAAGGCTGCAACCTAGCCCTCCCACTCTCAGGTCGGTGCTCTACCCATCACACCATGGCACTCCTGATGTCTGTGGAGAAGAGTCAAGAGAAAAGTAGAGATCAAGGGTGACTCAGCACACACCACTTCCAAATGCTGTCAAAGACACTGTCCTCAGAGCCCTGGGAACTGCACCTGGTGCAGGAGAGAGCAGTCATAACTGAAGCAGCTTGTAGCTAGAGGAACGGCACCCCCAAAGAACTGGGATGCTGAGATTCAACCTCATCAACAAGACGCCTCCAGCAACCTTCACCCCAAAACCAAGGAGCCCCTGGTGACTACTTTCCCTTTCAGCCCCAGGAGCTGTCTCCTGGGCCTGTGGCTCCCTTTAACCTTTGTACACATAGACTCAGGAAATGGACTGTTCCCCTCTTTGCTATGACTGTTGGGGAGCACAGGGCAGGATTTGCTACCAATCCCAACAAAGTATACGTGTCTTAATGGCACATATTCTGTGTACGAATTTATCACAGATTTTACTATAGCTTTCTATCCTCATTTTTTCCTCCCTTTCTCCCCAGTTTTCTCACCTACTTTTTCTTATTGTCCTTTGTGTATATTAGAAATCACCTTAAACCAGTTGGGGGGAATGACTAAATAAACAAGCAATTGGTTTTAAGAGGAGATTGAAGAGAAAGCACCAAGAGGGGAAAAAAATTATTGTGTGTCTACTTTAAGTCAAGAGTAAGAAGACCTAGAAAACCAGAACTAGTTGGGACAAACCCATACACTGAACACTTATGTGGCCTAGAAGCAAGGGCAGTATGGAGATTATCTAAAATCCCATGGCACGGCAGAACAGACCCGTCGATGTCAGCAGTAGATGGCTGATCCTGACCTATTAGGATAGGTAGGTAGCATCTACCATCTGTGACCTGCAGGCAGGGGACCTGGATTCTCATTCTCACTGTCTGATTCCAGCTAGCTGTGCTCCCTTAATCTGACTGGAGTTTCTTTTTCTTTACTTTTGAAATGAGTCTGAGGTTTACACCCACCAGTCTCTGACACAACCTAGCTTCCAATAAACCAAACTTCTTCCAGGAGAACAGGGATTACCTCCCTGCTTACTACCTCCCTGCTTACACAACGACATGCTTTAAAGATGCCCCACCCACTAGAAATTTTATACAGAGCCTCTGGGTTATTACACTGCCTGGCCTCTCCATAACTGGGCCTTTCCAGTTTGCTGCTTGTGACACTAGGGCATGATGGAACGCCAGCTTCACCATGGGATTCAATCTTATTAGCAGGAACCTGATTAGATTATATTTCACTGCAGCCCAGAAGCCACCGTATTTCAAGGACAGCCAGCCAGCCGTGCTAAGAGCATACAGAGACCCGCTCACTCTCTGCAGACCTCAGGAATCCGACCCAGGCCTGCAGCAGGTGCAATAAAACACAGACGGCCCATGCAAAGGTTCCGACCTGGAGAAGGTGTTCCGGGCGTAGTGCATGATGCTGTCAAAGTCGTATGTCTCTCCCAGAGAGCTCACTTCCCCGGCTTCCATTTTTAAGAAGTTATACTCCTGACCTGTGACACAACACTCTGTTAAGGACTTTGAAAACCAAGGCAGCATCTGAAAAGAAGGAGGGGAGGGAGAAGAAGGGCCCAGAGCAACTTCCCACAGCAACCCTCGCCCAGTTGTTTAGACAACAGGGTCTGTGAGGCTTCTGGCTGTTGTTTTTAGTAGACATTTCAGAAATTTGAAACTTCGAGCAAACCCTGTGTTCTCCTAGCCCTGCCACCCAACACTCCTCCCCAAATGCCCCTTGAAACTTTTCAACTATGTTGCCAGGCAGATTAGCACTCCAACTGCTTGTCCAAAAACATGTTGTTAACAACCAAACCAAAAACCAGGACTGGGGGTGTGGCTCAAGTGGTACAATGACTGCCTAGCAAGTGCTCCAAGTTCAGTCCCCTAATACCAAAAAAACAAAATAACCAAAATATTCTGATCTCTCAATTTGAAGAAACGAAAGAAAATGAAGCAGAGAATTAAATTCATTCCTAAATACTTCACAAATTAGATTCTCTAAACATGCTTAAGGCAACCATAGAACTCATTAATTACTTTCATGTTCGATATCTCCTCTCATGGTCAGGTGCGGTGACTACACCTATAATGCCAGCTCCTTGGGAGGTGGAGATCAGAAAGATTGAGGCCAGTTCACAAGGCCTGATCTCAACAGAAAAAGTTGGGTGTGGTGGTGCGCCCTGTAATTCCCAACTACTGCTGAAAGCATAAATAGGAGGACTGGGGTCCAGGTCTGCCTGGGAAAAAAGCAAGACACTATCTCAAAAAGCCACAGCAAATAGGGCTGAAGGTATAGCTCAAGTGGTAGAGTGCCTGCCTAGCAAGGGTGTAAGCCCTGAGTTCAAACTCCAGTACTACAAAAAAAAATATATATATATATATGTATGCATATATATATATTTTTATATCAAATTATTTAATAAGACAAGACTTTTTAACTAGACATGTTATCTACCTTGTGGCTTCTAGGCAGAAGTGCTCTTTTTACATGTGTTTGTATCTTAATTATGTTGCAGTTTCAAAAAGATGGGTTGCCCAAGTCAGCAAAAATGACTCACAAAAGCTGCCAGGAGAACTTTTTCTGGCTGATCAGCCCTAAAGCTGCCAGAGCGTTCTGGTTGATTCTGTTCCATTCAGGAACGGGGTTACATTTCATTGTTTACAACATGGGCAATCATTTTGCTTCAGCTCTAACCTATGAGCTTCAGCAGATGATTTCCCAGGAAGGCCACAGATGGGCAGTAGCAGTGCTGGTGACAAGCACCTGCAAAGTCAGGCCTCCAAAATTCAGCAATTAGCATTGGTCAACTCCTAGCAGACCCTCCCCTTCACTCCCTCTGACCCTGGACGCCACCTTCCTGGCCAGTGGCTTCCAGGCTCCATGCAGGCCTCCTTACCTGGCTGGATGTTTTCTCTGATGATGGTGACATGTTGGTCTCTGTCTGGCCGGGTATGTTCATGCCAGAACCCAACCACATGGCCCAGCTCGTGAGCGACGATGCCAAACTTGTCACAGTTTTTTCCAATGGATATGGCCTGTGGACCCCCTCCTCGGCGCCCAACGTAGGAGCAACAGCTGGACAGTGATAGAAATACTCAGGTCAGCAGGTCAGGGGACATCCAGAGCGAGAGGCAAGCTTCCCACCCTGCCTTGCCCACTGTGTAAAAGAAACATGGCCACCAGAGATGGAAGTACTCTCTGTGTTCAACTTCTCACACAGTGCAGAAATTCCCTCCAGAGATGCGTCTCAGTCTTTGTGGTGGTCATGAACCCTCTTGAGAAACTGAAGAAAGAAATGTCCTCCTTGCCTACAGCAAAGCACACACCACCCTCCGCCCTTTGCCCTTCACCCCCACGGTGCCCAGCCTCCACCCAGCCACCAATGAGGATAAGAAGAGACCAGAAGATGGCAGCTGAGTTTTGGGAAATCATGTCAAAGGAGACTTGTGCCTCCTGGGTACAATATTATGGTTTTTTTCAAGTAACATATATTTATTATACACTGGCCAACACTGGTTTTATCAAAATATTTTGATAAAGGTATAAAAAAAGAAATTAAAATGGTCCATAATCCCATCACCCAGATAACACCTATTGAGCATTAAAAAATACATGATCATATTACAAAAGATTGAAGTCTTTACCCCCACATCCAACCATTTTATACAAAGATAACCGTTGCTAACAGGATGTCCTCCCAGAAAACGTTTCCACAGGTAGAAACATAAATATTTGTCTCTCAAAGATACATATATAGATACATGTATATAATTATTTATAATATATACTTAAACCACACAATACATCGTGCTCATTGTTCTTCATCCTTTTCCCATATAGACTTCCTTTGTTCTTTTCAAAGCAACATAGTACCAAGTTTATTTCATAGTACCAAACTTTTTATAGCACTACAATTTATTTCATCAGTCTCCTATTAATGTAAATTTAATTTTTTTTATTTAAACATAGCTGCAGGGTAGAGAATGACAAAACAAGTCAACAAAAAAACGCAAAACAAAGAAATGGCTATACTCCTACATGCTCATGGTAGGATAAATCCCGGTGATGGGATAAATGAATAAAAGGATATATGCATTTGAAATTTTGAATTTTCCCATAATAAAAATTGGTCAACCTATTTTATGTATAAAGAAAAGCTATGAATTTTTATTTATTAATTTTGCATTCAGTCACCTTAATCGAGTCTCTCTGAGTTTCTAATAGTTTTTCAATTGATTTTCTTGGCACACAATCCTATTAGCCTTCAATAATGCAAGCTTTGCCTTGTTTCCGCCAACATTCATGGTGTTTATTTCATTCTCCTATCAAATTATATTAGTTAGTGTTTTCAAAACAATGCTAAACAATTGTGTTGACCATAAACGTCTTTGATTTATTCCTGATTCTGACAGAAATGCTTTTAGAATTATCATCAACAAACACGATATTGGCTTTTGGTTTGAACTAATAATTATAAATGTATTTTTGAATGTACATATGAAAATATATATTTATTTTTAGATAATTGACATCTATTCCTGTGCTACTTTAGTTACTTTTTAAAAAGAAAAACAGAAAATGCATGTTTAATCACCCAGATGACTTTTGTCATCTACTGAGAACTGCACGTGGCTTCAATCCTCATACCTATCAATTTTGTGAGCAGACTTCCTAAGCTTGAGCTAGTCTTGCAAACTTCCTGGGGTAGTCTCCCTCTAATGAGGGTGTCAGCCTCCTACTGATGAACTCTAATGTCTTATTTGGAATTTTTCCTAGTTATTCACATGTGAGACACATCTATGACTTAATTATTTATTTGTTCATTTATTATTGGTACCCTCTGTCGTTTCAGGATAGCAAGGCCATGACAGTTCCTTTAAAACGCCAACTTGGAAATGCTCTTTCTCTCTGCCCTGAAAAATTTCAGTAGTATCAGAATATGTTTCTTGAAGGTCTAAAAGAATTCACCTGTAGAACTCTGGCTTTGGTGCTTTGGGGGAGGCAGCTTTCCCCCTGCATTTTTCAATTTCCTTGAAAGTTATTACTCTGTGTCAGTATTTTATACTTACCTTGAAGCCATTCCCATTATTCAGATTGTGACACTTCTCACCCAAGAATGTTGTAAATGACTCTTTTATGAGTCTGCCATGTCAGTGGCTATTTCCCTTTCCTCCGTTTCAAATTTTGTGCTTTTCTTCACTGACTCTTTTTTTTTTTTTTTTGTCTAGGTTAAACTAAAAGACATCTATTGCTTTTTTACTCAAAGATTTTACTCTTGAGTTTCTTAGCCTCATAATGGTCCACCTTCTCTGGTTCCCCGTATTTTCATTAAGTTTATTTATTTATTTATTTATTTGTTGCTGTTGTGGTGGTTATTTTGTTAATTTCCTTGAATATCCCATTTTCATTCTTATTTAGCAATGTGGATATTTTGTACATAGCTTTAACCTTACGTCTTTCATTTTGAATTGCAGGATTTGTGTTATCTAGACACTTTACAATTTTAATCTTCATTTCTTTCTTTTTGTGTGTGTATGGTACTGGGGTTTTAACTCAGGGCAAGGCACTCTCCCACTTGAGCCACTCCACCAGCAATCTTGATTTCTTTATGACCTAGAAGCTATAGAAAAAGATGGAGGAACTTTTTAATTTATAAGGTAGTGCCTATTCTAGTTTTGTTAAGATACACAGTTTTATTTCTTTGCAATCTGGGAGTGTTTTAATGTTATTTCTGCTGTTTACAACCCATTGAGATGTCGTTAATGCTTAACAGTGGACAAGGTCTATTAGCCTTCCATGTGTAATTAAAAATGTGTTCAGCAGCCAAGATGCCCCACCACTGACGAATGGATTAAGAAAATGTGGTATCTATACACAATGGAATTGTATGCAGCCATGAAGAAGAACGAAATGTTATCATTTGCTGGTAAATGGATGGAATTGGAGAACATCATTCTGAGTGAGGTTAGCCTGGCCCAAAAGACCAAACATTGTATGTTCTCCCTCATATGTGGACATTAGATCAAGGACAAACACAACAATGGGATTGGACTTTGAGCACATGATAAAAGCGAGAGCACACAAGGGAGGGGTGAGGATAGGTAAGACACCTAAAAAACTAGCTAGAATTTGTTGCCCTTAACGCAGAGAAACTAAAGCAGGTACCTTAAAAGCAACTGAGGCCAATAGGAAAAGGGGACCAGGAACTAGAGAAAAGGTTAGATCAAGAAGAATTAACCTAGAAGGTAACACCCACGCACAGGAAATCAATGTGAGTCAATGCCCTGTATAGCTATCCTTATCTCAACCAGGAAAACCCCTTGTTCCTTCCTATTATTGCTTATACTCTCTCTACAACAAAATTAGAAATAAGGGCAAAATAGTTTCTGCTGGGTATTGAGGGGGTGGGGGGGAGAGGGAGGGGGCGGAGTGGGTGGTAAGGGAGGGGGTGGGGGCAGGGAGGAGAAATGACCCAAGCGTTGTATGCACATATGAATAATAAAATTTTTAAAAAATGTGTTCAGGTTATAGAATCTGATAGGCCTACAGAACCAAACTATAGTAATTATATTCCAAATCCTTCATGCATCTCTACTTAGTTTTTGGTCAACATGATGCTGACCTGCTTGGACTGAGAGAAACAAAATTAATCCCCTGCTGCCAGTATTTCTGTTGATTCCCCAGGCTTGTTTTGATGATTCTTAGTGCTATACTGTTTGGTGCATACATATTCATGGCAGCTGTGTTCTCACAATAGCTTGTACCCTTTTTCATTATAAAATATTCCATCTTTTTTTTTTAACATTTTCTGACTTTAAACACAAAATAGGGCTAGGGATGTAGCTCAGTGGTAGAGTGCTTGCCTAGCATGCGTAAGACCCTGGGTTCCATCTCCAGCGCAAAAGCTATAGTCTATAACTATAACTAGTCTATAACTAAAATGACAATTCCAGCTTCCCTTTTTGGTAGCTCTTGCTTGTACTCTTCCATCTTTTACCTTTAAACTTCTCAGGGTCATTTTCTTCAGTAATCACCTATATGGAGAGCACGTAGTTGGGTTTTGATTTTTGATCCACTACAGAAATCCTTTTCCTTTTAGTAGGCAAATACATCACACTTACATTTATCAGCAAAACAGATATCTTTCATCCTAACGCAATCATTTTATTACATGTTATGTTTTCTGTAGGACGTCTATAAAGCCCATGGGGCCTTTAAATTACATGCAGAATTATGTGTCTATCGAATTATGTGTGCATCGATTCTTGAGAGAAGAAAGCCTATGGCCTCATCAGCCAGCTGATTCTCAGTGGGGTCTCTGGCCTAAGTTTGTGCATATGAAACACCAGCCATAGCTGCCATGGTGACATGACCCACTAGGAGTGAGTCTTCTTGGAGTCATGTTCTGGATCCACCTGCTTTGCCACAGGACTGTGATTTCACTAAGGGCAAAGAGAGTTTCCAGTAAATCCTAGACTCCTATAAATCACAGCTTGTTGGAAATTCTTAGTGTTACAGGGAAAATTCAAGACTTCGTGCATCCTCTGATCTGTTGCCTTGATCCTACTGAGGTGCCTGGCTTTGGTGCACTTACCCACAGTTCCTATAACTGAACACAATGAAACTCTCCTCATCCGTCCTCTCTATGAAGGTCACACAGGTGTGCTTCTCCCAATGTCGCATGGCCTGCTTAAAAATGGCCCTCTGACTGCCTGAAATGACAGGGAGAATCTTAGTCTTCTTGTTGAATCACCTGATTAAGTGTTTGACACTAGGAAGCCATGGACACTGTCACCAAACAAAGAGGAAGGGCAGGTCCCCTTTACTCCAAGGCTCCAAGTGCCCACTCTTAGGTCTGCCCAGTTCTGTTGCTAAGTTGTTCGTGTGTGGCTCTCTGTAGCTATGGTGAGTCATCAGGACATCTGCCTTCCTCAACCACCTTTTACAGTAGGAGTCACAGAGCCTCAGGTAGGGGAAGGGTTCATCTTCAGGAGGGGTTGGAAGTTTGCTTGGTGTGGCTTTCATTCAGGCATTCAACCAATGTGGTACTAGCCACAGGCCTGCCATGAGCAGATGTGTGGAGTGCCTGGGCCGTGCCAGGCCCTGTCCTAGGTCCTGGACAGATAGAAGTGAAAAAAAAAATCTTTGTTCCACAGAACATGTGTGAAGACAAAAGTTAACAGAACTGTCAGTGAAGTAGCTGCAGGTCGTGCTGTAGAGGTTATAAACAGGGTGCTGAGACACAGAGTGGCTGGTGGGGGTTGTGGGGAATCAGAGGGACTTTCTGTGGATGTGTCACTTGATCTGAGAGTCAAATGATAAAAAGAAGCCAGCCAAGCAAAGCTCTGGGGAGAAAACATTCCAGATCGACAGAAGGTGAAGTCCGAGTGTAAGTGTTGAGGAACTGGCAGTGGACATGTTCTGAACAGGAAGGTGGCTTGTATAGGGACTAAGAAGGAAGGAGGAGAGAGGAGAAGAAGGGATAAAAGAGAAGGAAGGGGAAGGAGGCAGAGCTCCATGGGGAGGGCTGAGGCCACAGCCAGCAGTCTCAGGCTTATTGTAGACATAACAGAAAGTCAAAGGATGATTTACATATTCCAAAGATAATAATACTAATAGCAAATAATACTATGTGTCAGGCACAATTCTATGTGCTGTATCTGTATTAATTCATGTAATTTTCAAAACAACTTCATGGAGTAGAAAATATTAACATCCCCGTTTGTAGGACAAAGAACTGGGGACAGAGAGGTTAAGTAGTTCACCAGTGGTGGAACCAGGATTTGGCCCAAGAAGGTCACATTCAGCATGCCACATCTACTGATGCCCTCTGGTTATGTATGGAGCACTGCTCAGGTAGGTGGTGGCGAGACACCAGCAGGTTCAGGTGCTCATCAGGCAGAGGATAGTGTAGCCATCCTTTGTTCCTCCTTCTGCTCAGAAGGCTGGTCCTCACGTACTCATTGTGCATACGCCATCTGTCCTTCAAGACCAAGGTGACTATGCCACTTCCTGAGGAAGGCTCAGGAACAAGGTGACCTTTGAGGACATAACCCCGACAGAAGTTTTCCTGAGTCTGGTAGAACAAGCCACACATAGGCATGAGGGAGACTTAGCAGATGGGACTGCTGTGGCCCTGGCATCCCTTGAGTCCCACCAAGTCCCTCCTAGGAGGACATGCTCAACCTCCATAGCCCAAACACCCAGACCCAACGCGGCCTCTCTGGGACGACTGACCAGTGAAGTTCCCTCCAATGACATAGGGGATGACCCCTCCAGGCCAAATCCTCTCTGTCCTTGAGGTTGTGGCTCTTCGGACCCGAGCAGAGGTGGTCTTGGCTGTGGCCTCCGAGGTCTTAGGGCTGTGTGGAAGCATAGCATCCTTCTTGCCATCTGCAAGACAGTCAGGACACTGTTTACTTTGCCCTAGGATTTCTCCTGTGAATTACGCCTAAGAATTACATCGACCATGAACCTACAAAAAGGGATGCTAGACCCTGTATTCTAAAGGGGCATTTCACCTGTCCAGGGCTTTGAGTCCCTGCGTGGTAGTTTTCCAGACACAGGGAGAAGAAAGTATAGCAAGTGTTTGGGGTTTCAGAATGGTCTGGCTTATTTGAGACCTTGAAAGAGGCCCTCTGGGGCCATAGAATCAAGGTGCCCAGATAACCCTAATCCATCTGGGGGGTGGAGGGAGGTTGAAGTGAACTTTCTGCTCAGAGCCATGAACATTTAGGGTAGTGAGCTCAGACTGTCAATGTTGCAAATTTTCAAATAATTTGGTCAGTATGGCAAAGAAAGTAGACCACTCTGTGACACTGGAAAAGAACAACTTCTTTGTAAGATACGCCTTGATAAGCCTCATAAAATCTCGCAGCTCTTGGAACATCTGGACCCTTAGGAGAGGAATCTAGAGCTGGGTGTGGTGATGCATGTCTGTAATCCCAGCAATCAGGAGGCTGAAACAGAAGGGCCATGAGTTTTTATAATAATAATAATTCATGCTAAAGATTATTCTGAATGCTATCAATATTACCATTTGTCTTATTTTCATTAATATTTGCCTCATTTGATATTTTTTCCACCCATTTATTTTTAATCTCTGCATGTCTTTTTAGTGAGTCATTCCATAGGCATCATTCCATAAGCGACTTAACGTTTCCCACAACAAAACAGTAAAACAAGTCATGCAATGATCATGAGGTTGAAGTTCAACGTATTTTTTTTTTTACTAGATATGAAATGGCCTCTTGTAAGTTGAAATTTTCTACGGAGATAAATTGTAGATACACATATAGCTATGAGAAGTAATATAGAGAAATCCTATGAACACTTTACTCAGTTTCCCTCAATGGTAACACTTTTTAAAAACCACTGCCCAGTATCACAATAAGGATATGGACATTAATACAATCCACGGATTTCATCCAGCGTTCTCCAGCTTGACTTGTGCTCTTTGTGAGTGTGTAGTTCTATACAATTTCATCATCACAGGTTTTACGTGACTACCACCATATTCACGATACTGAAAGTTTCAGCTCCATAAGGACTTGATGTTGCTACTTTGTAATCACACCTCTCCCTTTCCCCTCCCTCCTGCCCATCCCTAAACTCTGCTAACCACTAATCTGTTTTCCATTTCTAAAATTCTCTCATTTGAGGAGTATTATATACTTAGAATCATGTAGCCTGTTACCTTTGAGGATTAGCTTTTCTCTCTCAGCAGAGTTCCCTGGAGCATCCTCCAAGCTGCTGTATGTATGAATAGTTTCTTTTTGTTACTGAGTAGTGGTCCATGGAATGTATGCACCACAATTTTATTTAGCCACTCACCTGTTAAAACACATCTGGGTTGTTTCCTGCTGTCACAAATAAAGCTGCTATGAACATTTGTACATGTTTTTGTGTGAAGATAAAATTTTACTTCTCTGGGATAAATACCCAAGAGTGGAATTACTGGGTCACATAGTAAATGGGTCGAATTCTGTTCTGTTGCATCCATCTCGTGTTTATCCCTCTGCCAAAAGCACACTGTCTTGATTGCTATAGTGATACAGTAAGCCTTAGTACAGCGTAGAAGGATTACTCCCCACTTCATGCTTTTTTTCATGATTTTATCTATTTTGCCATAGTGATTTTGTGTCTTTCCATATAAATTTTAGAATGAGTTTGTCTATGACTACAAAAATGAACGTGCTGGGATTTTTATAGGAATTGCATTAAATTTATAGCTCAGTTTGGACTTAATGTGGCATTCCCACATTAGTCTCTATTATCCAGTCTTCCAGTTCATAGATACAGTATGCCTCGACATTGACTTATGTCTTCTTTGATTTCTTTTATCAGCATTGATTAATTTTCATTGTACAATCCTGTACATATCCTGTTAAGTGTATATCTAAGCATTTCATTTTCTTTGGAGTGATTATAAATATTGTGTTTGAAATTTTAGCTTCTGCATATTTATGTGAGTTTTGTGTGTGGTCTTGTATGCTGCCATTTTGATAAACTCATTTATTGGTTCTAGGATTTTTTTTTGTTTGGTTGGTTTGGTGTTCTTGTAGATTCCTTGGGATCTTATGTAGAGTCAAACATGTCATTTGCAAATGCCAATGAAAATTTTATTTCTTCCTTTGCAATCTGTATGCCTTTTGTTTTTCTTGCACTTCTAGAACTATGTGGTGTGACAGCAGACATTCTTGTCTTGTTCTTGATCTTAGTGGAAAGCATTCAGTCTGTAACCATTAAGTATGATGTAAACTGTAGGTCCTTCTGTAGATAGTCTGTATCAAGTCAAGATAATTCTTCTCTATTCCTAACTTGCTGAGTTTTTATCCTGAATAAGTACTAGGTTTTCTTAAATGATTTTTCTTCATTAATTGATGTGATCACAGAGCTCTTCTTTTTAGCTTGCTCATGGAGTAAAAGGTTCGTTTAAACCTGGAATAAATCTCACTTGTTTCTGGTTATATAATTCCTTTATACATTATTGGATTTGATTTGCTAATATTTTATCAAGGACTTCTGCATGTAAGTTTAATTAGGTTTTGGATGGGTCTCCAACAAACAGCAAGTATCTAGATTTTTTTTCTTATTTTTCAACCTGAGACTCTTTTAATAGGCAAATTATATTTATTTTATATTGATATACCTAGACTTATCTCCGTCCCTTCATTTTGTGCTTTCTTTTCCCCCACTTTCTTTCCTCCCTTTTTTTTCCTTTCCTGATTTCTATTGGATTGAGAATGTTTTCTACACTGGCTTTTTATTTCATTATTCTTTTTCTATTATTTATCGTTGCACTTAATTTTGAACATTATACTTGACTTAAAAAGTAGAAAGAGCCCCACCACTGACGAATGAATTAAGAAAATGTGGTATCTATACACAATGGAATTTTATGCAGCCATGAAGAAGAATGAAATGTTATCATTCGCTGGTAAATGGATGGAATTGGAGAACATCATTCTGAGTGAGGTTAGCCTGGCCCAAAAGACCAAAAATCATATGTTCTCCCTCATATGTGGACATTAGATCAAGGGCAAACACAACAAGGGGATTGGACTTTGATTGAGCACATGATAAAAGCGAGAGCACACAAGGGAGGGATGAGGATAGGTAAGACACCTAAAAAATTAGCTAGCATTTGTTGCCCTTAAAGCAGAGAAACTAAAGCAGATATCTTAAAAGCAACTGAGGCCAATAGGAAAAGGGGACCAGGAACTAGAGAAAAGGTTAGATCAAGAATAATTAACCTAGAAGGTAACACATACGCACAGGAAATTAATGTGAGTTAATGCCCTGTATAGCTATCCTTATCTCAACCAGCAAAAACCCTTGTTCCTTCCTATTATTGCTTATACTCTCTCTACAACAAAATTAGAAATAAGGGCAAAATAGTTTCTGCTGGGTATTGAGGTGGGGGGAGAGGGAGGGGGCGGAC